CGTTAAGCATGATGCTTGCACTGCGAGGTCCGTCGTCGGTGATGTTGACCTGCGAAACAAGAAGCCGCTACTCCTTGAAGTGTTCCTACTCGCAAGACTCGAAGAAGCATGCGACATGGCAATTGCGCTAGGGGAGCGGCAGAGCGCGATGCCGCGGCTGCCTCCGAGGTGGGAAGATGTAATGTTACAAGGCAGCCCTCCATCTGAGCCGCTGCTTTGCTCCCAGACCCTATTCGTTGTTGCATTTTGGCTTGATCCGAGACGTGAGCCGTCTTGATTCTGATCACCCCTAGCAATGCCCAAGTAGGACTCACGCATCTTAAGACCCAGGCAAGCCCAACCCAAAATGCACAGCCGCCCCAGTGCCATCCCCGAAGTCAAGTCTGTTGCCATGCCCTTGGACCTGGGTGCGGTCGCACATGCAGTGGAGAGCAGCTGGGCAGCAGATGGCCACATAGAAAAGGGCAAGAGTTCCCTTGTCTCTCATGCGTTGAGATGTTTGTAGAGAACAGAGGCTGGGTAGAGGTTGCACGTCTTTCAGGAGTCTGGACAAAAGCTGCTAGCATCTTGTAGCAACGCGGCGTCTCAGTCACACCCGGTCTGACGACAACTTTTCGTGAAAGCCGTCATCACTCATGAGATCGGATGCCCAGGAACAAACAAACTATGGCCATTGAACCTGGCAACGGAATGGCGGGTTCTGTGCGCCATTTAATCAGTGTATACGAAATGAGAATCTTGTCGAGGCGCAGTCTACAGCGGGAAAGGAGTTCAAAAGCAGGCTGTCGCATCGCCCATTTGCGCACCCTCCAGATGCAGATCATTGGGACTATCCTCTACTTGATAAGGCTGGTTCCACAGCGGAGAAGAGCCGCTCGCCTCAGAGGAGCACTCGGTGAAGACGTGCCGCCAGTTTGCAGTTGCTGTTTGATTAGCTTGGCCTTGGCCACCTTGGCCTGTGCCAGGAGCTCTTCTCACTGCCACTGGGCATGGGCTTGCGTCATACTGCAGCAGAGGCAATTTCGCTCTAGGTCCAATCTGATGGACTTGAGAGTCATCCCCCGGAAGCGGCCGCACGAAACACTTTCTGGAGAGTCTATTCTGCTGCAGGCTCGCAGAGGAAGCTTGACGTCCTTCCTGGAAGGGCCGCATCACCAGACAGCTCTTTGACTCCATTAATGCTATGTGCGGCGCTGGCTTCAGAAGAAGCCCTGGCCGAGGCCTTCCTAGCTCAATGGAATGCGGAGCAACTCCTCCAGCGCCGCGCGCAGCTGCGTGTCGTACCTTGGAGACGGCATTCTGGCCTGGGTTTTGAAGCGACTGATTAGAAGCTGCCGAACCTAAGCGGAAAAGCAGTGCAGGGACCGTTAAGCCAGAAATGTTGTCCTCAAATTCATGGTAAACTTTATCCCAAAAACCTGCCAAGGCGTTCGGGATCGAGGGGGGCGTGGCAGCCTCGGGCAGTGGCCTCTTCATGGCCAAGCTCGTACGCCAGAGGCTCAGCAGTTGTTTATATGCAGGGTGTAACATGTAGCAGTGCCGCCACGGCCTACGGCCGTGAATGATCCCTTGTTGCTTTTGCCACTGCTTCTGCTGCCACGACAACAACTAGAAACTAGAACAAGCTGCAGCCACAACAGCTGTCTAAAGTGTGCTGAGAGACCAGACTTTGGTCCATCAGGGGCACATTGGACAGGACTCTAAATCTATACTGAGCTGCTGCCGGTGCTGCTGAAGCTACTACTGCTGCTCCTCCTCGTCCTCCTGCTGCTGTTACCACCACCACCACCACCACCGCCACCACTATCACCCCTCTCTCCTCCACGACTACTACCCCGCCACCACCACCGTGATGGATGTTGCCGCACCGCGGCCGCCACTGCTACTCGAAGCATTGTGACTGATACTGCTACTGACTTGTTGCTTATGCCTTTCCCATCATCGCGTTTGTCACTTGTGATCTCTACTCAGGCATCGCGCGGCGAATCCAAGCAGAAGAGGCAGCTTCAATCGTGTTGGTTCACCTGTGGCAGGAGATTCCGCTAGTTCAGGCTCTCACTGTTTTCGCAGCAGATCGCACCAGATGGGCCAAACCGGCCTGAGCCAGGAAGCCAGGGAGAAAGCGGAAGAAGAGCAGGGAGATGATGACGAGGACTGCTAGTGAAATGTTCTCATGTATCCTCGAAGACCAGACTTGTTCGACCGTGAGAAGTTGGTATCCTGAGCTCACTGCCAGGAGGATAGCGAGGAAGCTTCGAGCGACCACGGATCTGCTGGCTGCTTGGAGGACGGTGGGTTGCTGCAGGGCTTAGGTCCCGGTGACAAGTTTGAACAGTTGTCTGATGCTTGTGCACAGGAGCAGGCAACTGCTGGAGTTGTGCCTCCTGCCTGCAAGCTAAGCTTGGAAAGAGTGTAGTGCAGTGATCCTTTTAACCCTGGATGAGAAATACTTTATCTTCTGGCTGTCTTTGTTTAGAAGCCCAGGCATCGCTACGTTCCGGTCGGAACAGAGCTGTGAGGGCTGCACCGTACGGTGGGTGCGAGCAGCATCACCAAAGTCTATCGCGGCCAAGTCTTTCCATTGCCATGCTCGACTGGAGCAAGGGTGCATCGCCCAAGCATCATCTTAGTTTGTGCCCAGTCGTGCATGTCAAGTCCTGATGTGGTCCAAAGTGCCTGCCTGTGATAGTGAGAGGGCATGGCCTTCGGCCTGGTGGCTGCCGTTGACTCCGGCTTCCGACAGCTTCAAAGAGAGTCCAAGTACATCATAAACATGATTATGGCATAAGGTATGATTATAGAGCTGCGAAGACGACAATGACGCAAGATCGACAGCACCACTGCCAGCAAGCTTAAAGGCACACTGCAGCCGGACTGGCAGCCCATCGCAGGAAAAAGCAGCCTGCAGTCTTCGCCCACTTGGTTGTTCCACAAGAATGAGTGATATATTCTCTTGTTCGAACTTAGCGGCGTCAGCGTCGCTGTGTGACAGCTGGCCAGGCCGTCAATCGACTCTGCGCCGGTCGACACACGCCGTGGGTGGCCAAGAGGTCCTGATAAGCTAAAGTTGACCAGTGACAGAGAACACCGGCACAGGGAGAGCAAGAGGGACAGAAAAGAGGAGTGGCGTATCGGAGTCACGACTTCTTCCCACTGGGGCCGGCTGAGACCTGCAGACGGGAAGAAAGAGTGGAAGCGAGATGTGACACCCGTGACCCGCGGGTGCGCGTCCGCACGGAGGGGGGCTGGACCGCCACTTTCTCCCGTCCCGGTAGAGAGGGAGAGAGATGTGTCTGTGTATTATATATACTTACATGGACAAACATAATATGCATGAATAGGAATGTGGGTCTGTACTGTAACGATGACGAAGACAGTGTTCCCTTCACCTCAACATGGCTGCACGCCCGCCAGACGCACGTGTGCAATTTCGAATTCCGGGCATGGGCAGCAGTGATGATCAGGCCTGAGTCGTGACAGGTTTTAAACGAAAGGAAAGTTCTCTGTGGCCCGAGTAGCACGCACGCCTCCGAGCTCTTTTTGTATTTCACCTAGATTCTAGATTGCAGTTTTCGAACTTTGGGACTTTGGCGGGAGACCCCTCTGTGAAGCTCAATGCGCAGGCTACCAGAGAACAGGGCAATGCAACAACAATAGCACTAAGAACAAGGGGAGTTGCGACAGTGGCAAGGCAAGGAAGACTGATATGAGATGATAAGGGCTGATCCGGGCGTGCTCCGGATGCCCCGGTACATCGACAGATTTGGTCAATGATCTGGTAAAGCGAATCAAGGCGGATTTTGCATTGTATTTTTCTGATCTACTCCTCGCGTTTAGTGATGACCGAGAGCAAAGAAACAATTACAGTTCCGGTGTCCAAGCATTGGGGAGTGCCGTTTTAAGTTTTGCGCATGCAAAACATCCTGGCGTGTCGCGTGCAAGAAACGGTATCGTCGTGCCAGGACAGACGCTGAACTTTACAGCTACCTTGCACAGCGCAGCCCGAGCCCTATTGCAAGCGGAGGGTTTGCAGCGATCTTTGAAGGCATCTTGTTCTTGAAACTGAGGTCGAGATCCCAACATGGCCAAACTTGCAGCATCAGCCGAGCTAGCATCGCCCAAGGCCATCTGTTGTCAGGGCAAACGAAGCAGCCGTGAGATTGATCGAACTGCCACACGGATCTTGCGAAACGCTCTCCGACACGACCCAATTGACGTACGCAGGCTTCGACTGTACGATGGAAGAATCTTGAAAGACACTATATACTGCGTATGTGCAGTAGTTTCCCCATCCATTTGTGCAATAACGTGCCTTTGCTTCTCATCCCAGAAGATGCGCATGCGTCATCATGCTTCTGTGTCCAACCACACAGTTAGACTTAAACATGCGACCGTGCATACAAGGCATACAACTGCGAACCTGCACACAGACTCATGTATCCTGCATGCATCGCGGTCGCATGCACGCTACAAGGCGGCAGACTCGACGGATAGCTCTCCCCGGAGCAAGGCGGTGTGCAGAAGCGCTGTAGCAAGCTTGTCGCGATCAGAGCCGAAAGATACTATGTCGGGATGGCTTACACATGCTCGCACAGTCAAATGCCGTTGTTCCAGCAGGCCAGACAAAAGCACAGCAGTCACAACGAGCTCTTTGACTCTTGCCTGCGGCAGGACCGGACTTGCATTGCACCGTACGCAACAACGGATCCGTAAGTGCCAGGGAGCTCGTGGAAAGCTGCGGCCACTCCCAACAGCAGCAGTTAACCCCCCAAGCAGCTTGACCTCAAGTTGGAGAATGTTTGCGCCTCCCTTCTGGCGGCGCTGACACCAGTTGACCATCACGGCTCAACATAAAAAGCCCCCCCCCAGCCGCGTTGCAAAGATGGCCACTTGCTGAAAATGTTTGGAAAGATGGCGAGACCAGACTTGCAAGACATCGGTTCGGGTCAAGCATCGTGGCATGCAATGCGCGAATTTAGAAGAAACGGACAGTGGAAGAAGGCGCAACACCTGTTGGCGGTCATGCCTTCAAGGAGTTTTGTGAGCCATCAATGGGAATTTAGCTCTGCCATCAGCTGTTTCGGAGAGGCTGCACAGTGGCAAAAGGCTTTCTTGGCCTTGGGTGACTTGACTTTTATCCGGTCTGCACCTGATTCAATTACTTACGGTGCTGCTGCTGGGGCTTTGCAGGCAGGAGCGCAGTGGTGGGTGCCACTGCAGCTGATTTCAAGCATGTTACAGACCAGCGTGGTGCCCGACCGAATTACCTTCACTTGTGCGATCAGCTCCTGCGAAAAACGCTTCCAATGGCAGACAGCCCGGCATATCCTTTCGGCAATGCCTGGCGCTGCAAGCCAGCCCAGTGTCCTCAGCTTTAGTGTCTCTATCAGTGCATGTGCCAGGGTCGGGCGCTGGCAGCCTGCTCTCCAAATGTTGATGGATATGTCCCAAGTCACCGCTGCACCCAACACAATCAGCATGAACTCCGCCATCACAGCTTGCAGGAATGGTGCACCGTGGCAGCTTGCTCTAGCTTCGCTGTCCAAAATGCCGCTAATCGGCCTTGTACCGGATCTCGTGACCATAAGTGCCACCATGACGGCATGCGATGCCGGAGGCCCGTGGCAAATCGCTCTTCATCTTTTTTCCATGATCTATTCCAACAGTTTGACGCCGGACTTGATCGCCTTCAGCACAAGTATCAGCTCCTGTGAGAAGGGCGGATGCTGGCAGATAGCATTGCTTTTGCTTTCGGACATGTTGCATGTCAAGGTTCCGCCCGACATCATAATTATAAATGCAGCCATCAGTTCATGTGGTAAGGGAATGCAGTGGCAGATGGCCCTGCATTTGTTGTCCCAAGTTCTGACTATGTGGCTTCACCCAGACACGGTCAGTTTCAGTGCAGCAGTCACAGCCTGTGAGAAAGCCGCTCAATGGGAGCAGGCCCTCAAGCTGCTATTGCTTTTGCCAACTGTCCGAGTTAACGCGAGCGATACGATAAGCTATGGAGCCGGCATCAGTGCTTGCGAAAAAGGGTTCCAGTGGCATAGAGCAGTCCAGCTCTTCGCCGACATACCCGTCATGAGGACGGAGGCAAGCCAAATCACTTTCAATGCTACTTTCAGTGCTTGCGAGAAGGGCTTCCACTGGCAGTCCTCACTGCGACTACTCTATAACATGCCCCTTGCGAAGCCACTGCCTGACGAAGTCAGTTTCGGTGCTGTCATTAGTTCCTGTGCGCGAGGTCAAGCTTCCGAACGGGACTAAGGCCTTTAGCAGGAATTCTGCTTGAGTCCCGATATGTGGGGCTGGGCACTAGCACTGGCCGATCGCAGCATGCACTCTGTTCGGGACAATCTGCAATCTGGAGCTTTTGGAGTGGCATGTCGCCACTTCAAGCCTGTACATTCAGGCCCCTTGGCTTGCGAGACCCGTCCATGAGTTAGCTCCATGCCTGCCGTCTGACCCACAGCAGCGACAGGACCAGACTCGTCCGCGAAGTGTCTCTCAAATGCGCTCCGTGCCGCTAAGCTGCATTCTGGGGTGGATCCGCCAAAGTCGTTCTTCATGTTGTTTTTCGGATGGTGTAAATAATACCGTGCTGCTGCAGTGGGGTATCCAATCCAGACGTGTAACGACCTAGTGTTGTCTTGGCCTTGCCCTCAGATAGTGTGCTGCAGGTGTTTCAAGCGAGTGTTGGTTTGCCTTTGCAGAGTGCCTGAAGCCGCCTGCCACTGAAGGGGCAGTCGATTCACCACATGGGGGAGGAAATTACTGCATGCTCATTCCTGACAGCTGTTGCTGGTGTGGGGGAGAATCGACTTCTTGCTGTGGCTTTCCCAAGTACAGCCAAGCCTCTGCGGGATACAATCCCCAGGAGAGGAAATTGGACGCCAAGCTGTGTTTGGCGTCAATGCAACAAACGTTTCAAGATGAAGCAGTTGTGCAGCACACTGATCTGGCTCATGCAGCCCTGGATGCAAGGTGTAGTGGGGCACCAAAACAGTAGAAAGTAGTAGAAGGCTGTGCCGAGAGCCCGAGGTTTTGGAGCTCATTGCCACCCAGCTGCCGACTTCTTACAACCTTTGTCTGTGAGATTCAGGTTGGTTGAATCCAGAACTCCATATTTCCGAAGCGATGCATACAAGCATTATGCCACAGCACTGTGGCTGTAAGTTCGTCTTACCCGACCGCTCAAAGCTGGATGGAGTCCAGCCTGCAGTGTGCAGGTTCTCCGAAGTCTCCTCGCTCGCCAATGAGGACTTGACGACTCAGCGGTGGTTTTTCAAGAACTCGTGAATGGACTCCGCCATGCACCGTTGCAGCCAACGCAACCCTGCCAGGACGCGCCCAGCGTCTCAAGAGAGGCCCAAGGCTCGCGAGAGAGCTGGGTCCTTGTCTTTCTGGGAGACGCTGCGAAGTAGAGTTGGAGAGTGCATAAGTCATACGAGTGTAATCCGAGCTAAGGCGTTGACGGATCGGCTGTATGGTGACTATCTTCGTCGGAAGGAGAGAGCCAAGGCCAGCATTCCACACATTCCACTCGATTCGGCCCGTCGGCCGTCAGCTCTCAGAGGCCCGGGAGCTGCTCGCTGGTGTGCCCTGGGACAAGGACAAGACGGAGTCGGAGGCTGGATGAGATCTGGAGACATGTGGACATCGAGCCACAAGCTGCCACCACTTCCCGCCCTTACCTCGCGCTTCTTTTACTCTTCGGTCGCTTCTCATCGGTACTCGGTCCGTCCTCCGATCGCGATGTATTTCTGCACGATGGTTTTCGGATGGAATCCGACGTTGAAAAGTTTTAGAATATGACAGACTTCAGCACTGATTCCAGAGCAGTTGGAAACGCTGCGCTCAGCGGAATGAAAATGTTGTTCTCGATTAGCGGTCGTTGTCTTGCGAATGATTTTCTTCAGGAGGCTTGCACGGTGCAGTTCCAGACATGCTTCCTGATGACATGCACCGAGGAGTTGGTTCTGAATTGGCCCGCCTCGTTCCTTTGATCCCTCATGGCCGAACACGGGCTGAACCGAAACTCTCCACTCTTTCGGCACTTGGGAGTTGCTCCAAATGCGGGTTGTCAATCTGGCGCTCTTTGCATGCAGTGTAATACGCTGTCTAGGATTTAGATCATAACCTGGAGTCTGGCGGATCGGGAAGCAAGGCAGAAGCTGAGCGGGATACAAGGCTCTTGACGGCTGAGTGTGTTTATTGTTTGATTGATTGAACATACTGCAGCCAGCAGTATATTGGTAGTTCTGGCATACTAGCATATACTTGCCACCTTCTGTCAGATGCTCTTCATGCAGTCGACGATGACCCCTCGGCCCAGCGACATGTTTAGCTCTCGCTTCTCTGAGCTGATCGAGGACCGCCGACATACGGCACTAGACTTGAAGCGTTCGGTCCAGTCAACTGCCTGTGGCCTATCTTCAGCCTGAAAGGAATTTTCAAACGGAAACCATCGGAAACCATGGCAGTAGAGGGGCCATTCAGAAATCGCATGTGCGCCTGTCCGCAGGATCTTTCTGTCAAGGCGCCGCTTGCTGCAGGGCCTGGGAGACGGGTAGCTTGGAGAAGCGAAGCTGGCAGACAATCGAAGCAATGAGCCAGTAGTGCGGGGGTAGTCCCGTTTTCACAACTATAGCGTCGCAACCGTCCCCAGTTATCTACAAGTCAAGCTAGATTGTCAAAACTCAAAGCAACGTGGAAAGGTGATTCGTGAACAAGCTCATCATGCAACCGCTAAACACATCTAAACACATCAGCCTGTGTTTTGTTCCCTGCTCAGGATATACCTGTCTTACCGGAGGCCAAGGGTTAGCATTGGTTTGTGTTCGCATGCGGTGACATGTTCGACTTGTTTTGCAGCGCAATGTGCGGTTCCCTGAATGCGATCGCATGTCCGTGTCAGTCTTATTGGTCTTCCTGACTCCTCGAGACGGATCTATAACCCTGAACGAAAACGAAGCGATTGGTCAGGATCCTGTGGAGACATTCCTTCAGCGAAAGCCGAAGAGGTGCGGAAAGCCAAAAGCAAGGTGAAAGCGGTTACTCTTTGACACAGCACCAGCTCCGGTTTGCGAAAGCCCAAGTTAACCCTCCATTCCCTGGTGCGGCCGGAGGATTTTCTTCTTGAGCCTGCAGCCCTTTAGAAGCTAGTGGCAGCCGACATGTGATGCCCCCCTGTTCCGTACGCACAGTGTCCTTGATTTAGGGCTTTAGAGGAGCACCGACCCACGACGACGCATCAGTTTGATTGCCCTATTAACATTGCAGGGATGACGCTAGCCACGGGCCCAGTTCTTTTCGCGTGTGCGGGCCCACTGCACACACGACATGTGCCATTAGCTTCAGAAGGTTACAGAGAAAGTAACATGGTGAAGCTCTTGCCGTAAGGTTCCAAATCCTTGGTCAAGAAGAATTCATCCTACTACTTCGACAAGGACCGAACTGTCGGTTTGTATCATCCTATGTCAGTCTCAGATATCATCCGGATCTGGTCCTTAACGTTGTTCAGGTGTTCTCTTGGTGCCTTTATCGACTCCAGGATCGGCCGGTCAAGAAATCCACGGTGCAGAAAGGTTCTTCCAAAAAGGCGCGAAGACACCTAGCTCGCGGATTGATTTCGGAGTACACTTGCAATTTCGTTACAGTTGTCTTTACAGGGACGATGCTTTCATCCAACGGGCGACACCAATCTACGCCACTCCTTTGAGAAATGAGACCACGAAATCCAATTGTAAGTCTATTTGACCTTCGTCACCGCCCCCCAAAAACCTGCTATCTGTGGCAGGGGCTGAACTTTCTCTCCTGAGCCTGAGGTCTTCGCCTGTAGCCTGCGGGTCTTGTGCGACAGACCATGGAAGTAGTCCACGAGCAGCACAAAGCCGCAGGCTGCAGAGTCCTGCAGTCCTAGTACCACGGCCGCTGCACCATGTGATTGCACGTTTTCACTCCAAAGAGTCTTCTTGGAATTTCTGCGAAGCCGAAGCTCCAGCGGCTGTGTTTCACTTAGATGTGCCAGTTGGAATCCAAGCTGGCCGAGAAGCCGATCAAGATTGCACCTGCGAGGCTATGCTTGACAAGGCGGATCCTCAGAAAAAGGAACAGTTGCTGATACGGTTATGTTTGGGGTGTGGACTCTCGTCCACTGAGGCAGAATGTCTCTCTGCCAGTTTGGGTTCCTCTCGTGCAACAGAACATGCTCCTGACTGGGTCGTAAATTTGACACCCAAGCGCCAGGTGTTTCAAGCAAAGGTCCGTCGGCTTTCAGCTTAGTGCGCACTGCAATCTCGGACATACCCTCGCGATCCTCGCTTCCACGTGCGATGAAGCATACATGGTTGAGCTTGAACATGGAGTCAGTGGTAGATGTGTGCATGCACCGGAAGCAAGCTCTGATGTATCTTGTGGTTTCCTGTTCCTCTCGCCTTTGCCGCCAGGTGCAACGCGAACCAAGAGTTTGACCCGCTGTCAGTAGCACTTTGGATTCGCAAGGCAGCACCAAATAAAGCCAAGTGTCTCCCTCTGAAATATGCGTTCTTTGACTTTGCAACGACATGACAGGGCACGCTTTCTGCCGTGCTGTAAAAGCTATGGAAGCTGTTTGCCGCGAATCCTCAGCTGTGATTTACAGATCGTAGGTTGCAGGGAACCCCAGAAACCAAAAACTAAGCAGCAGTCAGTGCTTGGGCCCTTCGATACGAGATCTCTTGCAACAAGATCAGGGTGAGACCACTTCGCCAGATCTAATTGACACATGTCGTTTCTCGTGCCTGTACAATGAAGCTGCAACATGCCATTTTGACATGATGCTGGCGCATCTATCATCACGACTTACTTGCCTGGAAAACCAAAAGATATGCTGCTTTGAGCATTGGGAAGGTATCAGGTCCAAGATCAGTCGACAAGTTGACCGAAATTTGAATAAGATTGGTCCACGGTGATCTAACACAAATAAATGATGTGATCTACTTAACAATAATTTACGATGTCTTCTTAACGGGCATGTGGGCTATTTTTCTTTATTAGTCTGCAAGCAATCCCACTGTCCCCTCTATTTGATTATTGGTTCTTTGTTTTTAGATGTTTTATTATATTACGAGATCATGGGCAGAAGCATTACAGAAACAAATCTATATTCACTGTATATTTATGTATAAATATAAATATAAATATAAATATATATATATATATTATCGCGACTGCATTCTCTTTGCTTCTTGATTCATCCATATTAGGATGATATTTGTGATAGTATATGTATATTTATTCTATATAATATTGCTCGTTCTTTCTGGTTTCGGATTTGCATAGGACGAATGTCGGTACGAAACCACGAAAATCCCTGCGGCTATGGGCCTTCAAATTTAAGGCGAATTATTAATACGAAATCTAGAAATTCCTTTGGAATTCCTTTGGATTTTGAAAGTACCAGACCCGCTGTGCAATACGAAACCTTCAAAACTTGAAAATTTGGGGATCTCGTGCGGTACGAAACTACGGAAATCTCGATAAAATATGGTTTCGTATTACGATATGTTCGGTTAATTTTGATCTATATTCCGGCCTTCATTTTATTATGACGCCTCGACTCATATTAGATATTATCGACGTACAATATTATAATTAATGATTGGATACTTGGTATATGCTACGTATGCCGTGCATAATAAATTCTAGCAATATAAGGTACTTACATTATATTGTATAGACTTATCATATCTGTCGGAATATCGTATGGATCGACTAGATATCGTAGTTACAAACCGGAATATGGAAACGCAAGTTGTCGGCGAGTGCGTGCGTGTCGTGGGAGTGTCGGAGTGATGGGCGACGGGGTAAGGGCGAGGAGTGTCGCGTAGTGGTGGGCGAGGTTGAGTGGATCGGTGGGGAATTGGTCGTGTGCGAGGGCGTAGGTCATGGGGAGTGGCGGACGATGGCGGGGAAGCAGCCGGGAGAATTAGAGCACCGAGAATCTACTTGGAGATTTATAATGGGTATTTGTTATGATATTAATGATATCTTTTTTAATTAAAGCTTCTGATGAATTTTAATCTTCTGGTCGTAGAATATATTAAGCGCTATGATATTTTGGATATTACGAAATTTTCGAATTTTTGATTCTTATTATATGGATGAGGATAGAAATATTGATTCTGATATTGATATATCTAAGCTGGTGAGGTTAAATAGCGGACCTTTTTTGAAAGATTATTTTATTTATTCTGGATTTATGAGGTTTATAAATAGAATCAAATAAGAAATACGTAGATTTATCGAATTTCAAGACAAGAAAATTGAAAGAAAAAATCAATTTATAAGGTGATATATATTTTCTAGATAGGTGTTTATAAGACGTATTTGAAAATATATATTGATAATATGAATATTGCATATTAAAATTGATAAGATTGGATTTGCTTATTTAAGGTGATGATAAAAATCGAGAGTTGTGACGTAGTCTTCTGGTTTTCTTTCTCGGGGAGTTGTTGGGATTCATCTTGGATGGCGAGCGGCTCGAAATCTAAATTGGCAGAACTCTTCGCTCGGAATAATTTTTTTATAATTCTAATAATTATTTGATATATGCGCTTTTCTTTAGATTATGATTTTCTCCATTATTCCTGATATTATTTAAATCAAATACTTCTAAAAAAAATAAATCGACTAAAATTTTCTGCGTTATTCCTGATATCATTTAAACCAAGCCCTTATATGGAGAAAAGCTTTTCGATTATGAGTAATTCTATCACTCTTGATATTATTTAATTGAAGCACTTGCATGGAGAAAGGAGATTGAAAAATGAATTTTTGAGATTCTAAGAATCCTTTAATGCATGCGTTTAGATAAGAGAAAAGATCCCGGATATAATTTATTATAATTCATTTATATGGGGAAAGGTCTTCCGGGCACGAGCAAGGTATGATTTATGCAGTTGCCTATATGAATAGAAATAAATAATATCTTTATAATATGGAAGTTTATCTAATGCTCGTATTATCTATTGAAATCTTCTTCTGGATCGTATGTATATCATGTATGAATATGTAATGAAATAATAAAAGTGGGAGGGGTGGGTCGTGGTGAAGACGAGAAATTTATGAGAAGCGATGGGGGAGAGTGGATCGAGGTAGTTGTTGTGAATTATTTATAGATAAATCTAGAATATCATAGAGAATATTATGTGGGGTGGTCGAAGGAAGAGATCGAAGGGAGCGTCGTGAAATGGTGAGTGAGGGTGTCGTGGGTTGATGGATTGGGATGATATGGGATAGTAGATAGATAGTAGATAGAGATATATATAATAGGGTCATAAGAAGAAGGGAGAATTTATTTTATAGATAAGGGAAGAAATAAAAATCTTAAATTTGATATGAATATATAATAAAAATTTATCTTTTTAATTCTAAAGCTCGATTTATTGAATCAATTAATAATGATCTAATATTTCTGAATAGTAAAGAATTATGAATTATATAGAAGAGATATCTTATATTAAAAGATTTATGAAAATATTAACGATATATCTAAAATTAGGAATCTATTATTCTTTCAAATATATTTTATTTCATTATTATATATTCAAGAGATTTCAAAATCTGAGCTATTTCTATTTCGAATCTGAATTTATTCTTTAGAAATCGATTTCAATTACTTTCAATATGATTTCTAAAAATTTCGATTTGCACTTATTGAAGGCAGGAATGATTTCTAGATAAAATCGAAATAGCTCTCATTATTAAATTTTCGAATTTAGAAATAATATTGATTTTTTGAAATTAGAGCTAAATGAATTTAGCATATAAAAGAATATTTAAATTTGATTGAAAGCTTCGAAATTTGAAATAATTTATCGAGAATTGAATAAAATTGAAATAATTCTAAAAAAAGATAATGAGAAATATTTTTGGAATCTATAAAAATCTTTTCGAGATATATTTCGGGAGCAGGATGATATCGAATTCTAGATTGAATAAAATCTAAATTAGATAGATTTAATAAAATTTAAAAAATATTTTGAATATCATTTTAAGAATTTTTAATTCGATTTTCGGATTTAGAGATTATATTGAGATCTTCAAATGATATATTAAAAATCAACTATATTTAATGGTTCCTATCAAATATATTTAGATTTGCCCGGAGATTTCGAGAGCTCAATGAAAGCTTCGGGAGTGGATCCAGGAAGCCCAGCAAAGCTGAAATAATTCTAGTTGCACTATCCAAATCTTGAAAAATATATTTTGAGATCTGAAATCTAAAATAATATTTTCTATAAAGATTTCGTGATCTAGGATCGGATTCTATTGCCTCTAGATTTGATGAAATTACGATCATATAAAATATAAAAAATTTAGAATTAATCGGAAGCTTCCAGATTTCGATTTAGATTCATGAATTAGAAATAAAATTATCGTCAAATATGAAATAGCTTTATACTTATTTCGATAATTTTAATAAATGAAAATTTTAATATCAGAAATCAATCTAAAAATTTTCTATAATATTTTTCGATAGTAATTCTAGATTTAAAATAAGAAAATTTAGATATTTAAGAAATCTTATAAAATTTATTCTTAAATCAAAATATAAGATTCGCTAGCGAATCTCTCTTCGAGATCTGATCTTCATATCTTCCCTCAATATAATGTGCACCGAAAATATATAGAAAATAGATGGATATACATCTCTAGGATTAAAAATTCGTCATACTTGGCTACACCATCTTGCGGAGGACGCGGAGTACTTGGAAGTGTATTTTACGTGGCCTGGCTAGCGGAGG